CACACACACACACACACACACACTCACACTCACCGTCTGCTTGAAGCCCACGGCCGTGTGCTGAGGCGCTTTACGCAGCGCGTTCGTTAGAGTCCTCCTCGCCTCTGAATACTCCAGCTGGATGGCCTTGATCCGCCCTCAAAATGTGCAGTGCACAAATATTAGTACAGATTTGTCTCATGGAAATGCACATTTTACAGCAAAGCACTGGGTTTGAGTTGGGATAAAGATTGTTACTGTTAAATGTACTATTTTTCACAACACTGTAGCACTAGCACATGTCGCAGCTGATCAGGACACGGTGTAATACAACAGACATGACAAAAATAATAATACAACAACATTTATTATTCATTTATATTTGACATTCCTGCTGAATTCAAGCGCTTTCCCGCAGCACAGTTTAATAATGGCCTCACTATGACACATTTTTAAAGAAACGGAGGGATTCACTGAGTTTTTTTTGTAATCAACACATGTTGTTGATTGAGCTAAACTTGTTGTAGTGAATCCAGAATACTTTGACTATTACCTTTGATAATGTGCTCAAGCCTCACTACAATATAAACCACGTGTCAGTTTATTGGAAGCCAGTCATGATGTAAGTATTGACTTGTGACCAACAGTTCAGTAACCTGAAGCACCACACCACCAGCTGGCGCTCTCCACTCACCGGTGTAGTAGAGATAGCGCGCCCACTCGTTGTTGTTGGCCAGCTCGGGGAACACAGACTTGGACACTAGTTTCTCCGCCTGGTCATACAGATTGAACTGCAGGTAGTTGCGCAGCAGCAGGTTGAGCAGCGTGGCCTGGCCGTCAGCGTCATGGCGCAGCGTAGCCGTCCTCAAGCGCGTGTGCAGGAAGCTGTGCTCACGAGAGAGGAGAGTGACCACGGCAGCTCAGCTGAACCTAAGGTCAAAGGTCATGTGGAGAACAGGCTCACCTGCGGACCGCATCCAGCTGGTTCAGGAACTCGTACACGCGCGAATGGTAGTAATAACACTTGGCAGCCACTAAGTCCAGAGCCCGGCGGTTCTGAGAGCCGATCTTCTGGAGCAGATCATCAGACACTTTCTGGGCCTGTGCAGGACAGAGGATTCACTGAGGAAAACTAATGCAACTAATTATTATCTGGACAATCAATTCATCAGTCGAGTATTTCTTTGATTAATCAGATTAAAACACACACACCATATGTTATTATCTGTAAATAACTGAAGAACCCCGTGCCTTCATGTGCTGGACTGCAGTGAAATCTAACTCTGCTAGCAGAGATTTTTATTTGATTAATATTTCCTATTCCTTTTAGGTACACATGCATAGTTAAGGATAAACCCTTTGAATGTTCATTCACATTTTCAGCAGATGAGATATAATGCGAGTTTGCTGACCTCTGCGTAGCGTGTCTTGTTGGTGAGGTAGACCACCATCAGCAGCTGCAGATAGGCCTCCACCTCTGGGATGAGCGGCGTCGCCGCAGCTTTCCCCGTGCGAGGCCTGAACGCCACGTCTCCTTCCTTCTCCACCGGCTGAAGCAGAGAGACACCGGTTACAGTCATGCACTCAAGATATGGAGGGAAGAGCGGACTTGCAGTAAAGGTCAGGGCTCAACATGAAGTGCTCGAGACAGAGGACGCTGAAAACACCACGAGCAGGGCTCCAGACTCAAAGCTCTAGCACCAGCACTGAAATCACTCATCACTATTAATGATACTAATTAATCAAATACACGCTTTGTCTCTTGGAATTGCAGATTTGACAGCAGCAGTAGATTGAGCTGGGATGAGGATGTACATTTACTTTCATTAACAAAACTGGTAAAATCACTGCTAACCCTGTGCTGAACTCGAGCGCTTCTCGCTGGATCTCACAGCGCGGTTTAATAACTAGGGTCCTGGATCGATTCTGAGATTTCCGGATGCATCGTGACTCTCTCTGGAATGGATTCTGAGCTTAGTTTCTAATACAGATGGCGCTCTAGGCTAGTTTTTAACCGCACACTCAAATGCTCATGAAGAACAGCGCTTGTGCGTTCGGCTGAGTCATGTATTGTAAGTGGTTAAATGCACCTCGGCTTTTATGATGCGAGATTAATGTAAACACAGCCCACTGTGAACACTCTTGTAATTCACTTCAACCTTTCTGAACTACATGAATGATTATTTTAGGTTCAAGTGGTGTGTGTGTAAGAACTGGAAGCATCGGAGTACGGCTGTTTCTAAAGCATGCAGCGCCATCTGCTGTTAAATCTGAGCTCAGAATCGGCTCCAGAGAGAATCGCCATGCCTTCGGAAAACCGCAGAATGGATTTAGCGTCGCACCCCTATTAATAACAGTCACGTGATCAAACGCATTCGCTCCAAGATCACGCTGCGCTCTGTTGGACCGAGCTGATAAATGGTCCATGTGGCGCGGTTCACACGAGTAGCACGGTTTCGTTCTGCTTTTGGCCCATTTGCCCTTGGCTTTAATATGTCTAATACGCAACAGAAATGGCAGTGTTTATCAGTGACACCAGTGCGACCTTTAACAAAAGCACCGGCAGGACAAAAGGTTGCAAAATGAGAGCGTTTAGTCACAGTCTGGAGCCCTGCATAGCAGTCTGTGTGCACGATAATATTTACAGCCCATATCACTCTGATTAAGAGAACAGCCCCACTTTTGACTTCACAGCTGTAAATGCATACGCCGAGGAACAGAGAGCTGTGTGGTCTGGTACCTTGTCCAGGAAGCGGAGCAGGAACTCTTTGCTGGCAGCGTTGCACGTGAAGAACCCGGACACAGCTTTCTGCAGCACATTGGGATTGAGACGGCGGCTGGTGGAGGGCAAAGCTCGCAGGGCACGGAGGACGAAGCGCGGCTCCTTCCCCTGCAGGGCCTTCTCGATCTGCTTCACGTGCTCCTTGATATCTGCAGCAGACAGACACATTCAGAGTCACCCACAGAGCTTTCCACACGCCTCGGAGTTCATCATGTTCTGGAGCAAGTGACTAGTGCTCGACTACTTTATCACAAGCGGATCTCTTACATTTTTGGCTTTTCTTGACAGTTTTAAGTCAAAGTGCACAGGATATATTAAAATTCATCGCAAGCTTCGGCAGGCAGGCAGTCATGCCGGTGTCCTCCGGAACTCAACAGCGACCCACACGTTACACTGTGAATCTGTGGTGAGAAGTGGAACTGCAGCACGCTCTAATTGAGAGGCATTTGGGCAGTTTTGAGACTCCCCGCTTACTTTCAGGTTACCTTCTCTGGCTCCAGACCAAGAGGACATCAGTCAGCTTCAGGTCAGTAAGCAGCTGGCATGTCTGGGTTTCCTATGTGGAGTAGTGTTTTACATTAATGAAAGTGTTACGCCTGTAGTTTACATGTGCTCACGTCAAAAGCCTTTATATAGTTCTGTTGTGTTTGTTTTATGTTCGTTTTGAGAGGAGACATGACATTCGTTTCCTCACTTAAATTCCTCTTCAACTTGTAACATTCTAAGTCAACATTCGGAGATGTTATTAAGGCAATAATTCTATAGCATTCTATGTGTGTGTACTTTGAGCTTGTCAATCAACATTAGCGTGCCGCCCACTGGCTGAATAACGCATTAGATCTCTGGCAAAAGTGTGTGTGCATGTGTTAGACTGTAAAGACTACAAGCTTTCTTGAGTTTATTATAAACTAGTGCTACGACCCAGAGTATGCCCACCTAAACTTACAGTCAGGAGCCGCTAATGCTTATTAGGCATCCTTAAAACAGCAGCGTGAATAAAACGTAGACTGAGACACTATCACAACTAAACAAATGGTCGAGTCCAGGTACGAGTCAATGCAACGGTATTTTTATTCTGATCAGTTTACTCATCTGAGCTCTTAATTTTGCTCTCAAGTGCACCAGAAAAATCTTTTTAACTTAACTGTGCAGATATTTAATTCATAAAAAATCACAGCCTTCGTGATTCAACAATCGCATCAAGCCGATTTCGATTAATCGTTCAGCCCTGCTCCACACGGAGTCACTTTTATTTAATACCAAAGCAGTGAACGGAAAGCCGTCTGTCATTATGTGAGCGCCCATTCCAGTTCTCAAGGCCCAAATACACACACACACACTCTCTCTCTCTCATAGTCTCACACTCACACACACTCTCATACTCACACACGCACGCACTCACGCGCACTCACACACTCTCTCACGCACGCACACACTCACACGCACGCTTTCACACGCACGCACACGCTCTCACACGCACGCACTCACACACTCACTCGCACACACGCACTCACTCACACGCACTCACACTCACTCGCACACACGCACTCACTCTCACACGCACTCACACTCTCACACACTCACACGCACTCACACTCACTCACACTCACACTCACACGCACTCACGCGCTCACACGCGCACTCGCAAGCTCGCACGCATGCACTCGCAAGCTCGCACGCACACACTCACACTCTCACACTCACACGCACTCACACTCTCACACGCACTCTCACTCTCACGCCCACACACACGCACGCACTCACTCGCACACACGCACTCACACACTCACGCTCTCACACGCACTCACACGCTCTCACACGCACTCACACTCACTCACTCACACACGCACTCACACTCTCACACGCACTCACTCACTCTCGCACTCACACGCACTCACGCTCTCACACGCTCTCACGCTCTCACACGCACTCACACGCACTCACTCTCGCACTCACTCACTCACTCTCGCACTCACTCACTCACTCTCGCACTCACTCACTCACTCTCGCACTCACTCACTCACTCTCGCACTCACTCACTCACTCTCGCACTCACTCACTCACTCTCGCACTCACTCACTCACTCTCGCACTCACTCACTCACTCTCGCACTCACTCACTCACTCTCGCACTCACTCACTCACTCTCGCACTCACTCACTCACTCTCGCACTCACTCACTCACTCTCGCACTCACTCACTCACTCTCGCACTCACTCACTCACTCTCGCACTCACTCACTCACTCTCGCACTCACTCACTCACTCTCGCACTCACTCACTCACTCTCGCACTCACTCACTCACTCTCGCACTCACTCACTCACTCTCGCACTCACTCACTCACTCTCGCACTCACTCACTCACTCTCGCACTCACTCACTCACTCTCGCACTCACTCACTCACTCTCGCACTCACTCACTCACTCTCGCACTCACTCACTCACTCTCGCACTCACTCACTCACTCTCGCACTCACTCACTCACTCTCGCACTCACTCACTCACTCTCGCACTCACTCACTCACTCTCGCACTCACTCACTCACTCTCGCACTCACTCACTCACTCTCGCACTCACTCACTCACTCACACACACACACACACTCACTCTCACGCACGCACACTCTCACGCACGCACACTCTCTCACGCACGCACACTCTCTCACGCACGCGCGCGCACACACACACACACTCACTCACTCACTCACTCACTCACTCACTCACTCACTCACTCACTCACTCACACGTCAAAAGGGCTGAATATTAGACATGAGCATTAAGTCTTAAAGTGACAGCAGCCTAATATCCCTGCTGCCATCTGTGGAAAACCCGCTGATTTAGAGCCAAAGGCTTCCAGCTGTAGATCATCCAGTGACGTCACAGAGGAATATGGAGAAATTACAAACCATCAATCATCCATCAGCAACTATCAGTATTGTTTTTTAACTTGCCAATCCCAAAAAGCAATTATCAGTGCTGATTAATCTCTGAAACGGAGAAACACTTGTAAACATTCAAACTAGAAGTCAACAAATATATGAGCAATAGCCGTGTGATATCGCGCTATATCAGCACAGCTGCTTTATTGTGAAGTTGACTGGTGTGTTAATCCTGTTCCTTCTCTCTAAATAATAGAAAGCATTTTGAATGACCCGTCAAGTGTTTTTTTAATTCACCTAAATGAAATGTTAAGAAAAAATGGGCTGTCATGTCAGCTTCATCTCATGCTAAGTTCATATGAGGGCACATGGATATAAAATGCAATATTGAATGAAAAATAAAAATCATCAGTGTGTGATGAAGCATAGCTATTTTAAAGATTTGTTCTATAATTGCAAGCCATTTTAATTGTCATAATGACCAATTATGCAATTAGCTTTCAAGCTTTCGTTTATATTACGTAATTATCAGCCGATTCAGTGTGGTGTATAAAGTACCTGAAAGCCATACTCAAGTAAAAGTACAGATATCTTACCAGAAAATGACTTTTGACAGCCCTATGTGTGTGAGTGTGTGGTGTGTGTGACCACACTGTGTGTGAGAGAGAGAGAGAGAGAGAGAGAGAGAGAGAGAGAGAGAGAGTGTGTGTGTGTGTGTGTGTGTGTGTGAGAGAGTGTGTGTGTGTGTGATATGTTTGCTGAGAGTGTGTGTGTGAGAGAGTGAGAGTGTGTGTGTGTGTGATATGTTTGCTGAGTGTGTGTGTGAGTGTGTGTGAGATATGTTTGCTGAGAGTGTGTGTGTGTGTGTGAGACAGAGTGTGTGTGTGTGTGAGACAGAGTGAGAGTGTGTGTGTGTGTGAGAGAGTGTGTGTGTGTGAGACAGAGTGTGTGTGTGTGTGTGAGAGAGAGTGTGTGTGTGTGTGAGACAGAGTGTGTGTTGTGTGTGATATGTTTGCTGAGTGTGTGTGTGTGTGTGTGTGTGTGTGTGTGTGAGAGAGAGAGAGAGAGAGAGAGAGTGTGTGTGTGTGATATGTTTGCTGAGTGTGTGTGTGAGTGTGAGAGTGTGTGTGATATGTGTGTGTGTGTGTGTGTGTGTGTGTGTGAGAGAGAGAGAGAGAGAGAGAGAGTGTGTGTGTGTGATATGTTTGCTGAGTGTGTGTGTGAGTGTGAGAGTGTGTGTGATATGTGTGTGTGTGTGTGTGTGTGTGTGTGTGAGAGAGAGAGAGAGAGAGAGAGAGTGTGTGTGTGTGATATGTTTGCTGAGTGTGTGTGTGAGTGTGAGAGTGTGTGTGATATGTGTGTGTGTGTGTGTGTGTGTGTGTGTGAGAGAGAGAGAGAGAGAGAGAGAGTGTGTGTGTGTGTGTGTGTGTGAGAGAGAGTGTGTGTGTGAGAGAGTGAGAGTGTGTGTGTGTGTGTGTGAGAGTGTGTGTGTGTGAGTGTGTGTGTGTGTGATATGTTTGCTGAGTGTGTGTGTGAGGTGAAGTTCTGACCGTCGAGCGTCAGCTGGTCCTGCTCTCCGTCCTGCGGCTCCGCGCCGCTCTTCTCTTTCTCCGCGCGGGCTTTCTCGCGTCTCTTTGCCGTCACTTCTTTCATGCTGCCGCTCAGATGCTGGAGCTCGGTGTCGTACCGCGAAAATCACGCATGTAAATAAGACGTTGTTGGAGCGCTCGGATTCACGCTGCTAGAAACTAACGCTGAAGATGACTGGCGATTCTCAGGCGCCGCAGTGCATCATGGGACGGTGGTGCGCTCTCTCTCTCTCTCTCTCGCTCTCTCTCTCGTGCGGAGCTGAGGCCGCGGGAGGAGCGTGCTGCCATCTAGCGCTCATCATCATCACAGCAGCTCTGCGCTCAGCTCCACAACAGCCTGAACAGAAACTGACGGTCCACCAGTGCGATCAGAATCGGACAGTCGGACAGCACCCATTTATATACACACCAGTGGCGTTCCGTCCATATAAGCTGCGAATGCTCCGCATACCCAGGCCATTTGAGAGAAGTTCACAGGATAATTCATATAAACATGATTATAAGTTGATCCCTTGTCATTTGTAACTTAAAGCTTAAAGTGTGTGTGAGAGAGAGAGAGAGTGTGTGTGTGAGTGATATGTTTGCTGAGTGTGTGTGTGAGAGAGTGTGTGAGAGTGAGAGTGTGTGTGTGAGAGAGAGTGTGTGTGAGAGTGTGTGAGAGTGAGAGTGTGTGAGAGATAGAGTGTGTGTGTGAGAGATAGAGTGTGTGTGTGAGTGTGTGTGTGTGTGTGTGTGTGTGTGTGTGTGAGAGAGTGTGTGTGTGTGTGTGAG